GGCACAAGCGAGTAATGGGGGTCCAGGATTCCACCCTGCAGCTTCCACTCTCTGCGCCCCGGGACTGGGAGGATAAAGTGGATTTCCACGTGCGTGCCGTGGAAATTCAGATTCAGATACGACTTAGTGACCGCGCGCACACGCTTGGGCAGCTTGGGCGCGGAGGCCTTCGTCACACTTCACAGAGGAACAAACCCAAACTACGGCTCCAAGTTACTAGACATTTTTGAAGTATTTCAAAATATTCAAAAACAAGCCGCTTCCCGGGGTGGGGGTGGGGGGCGGTTCTCCCGTTTATGCACGGGCTTTTAAGTGCCTGGGATTTACGAGTCTTTGTCCTCACCCCTCCTCCCCAAACACTCGCAGGAAGTTCCTGACCTGGCTGTTAGAGACCTGGCCCTTTTCCAAGGCACAGCGGTGTCAGTACTTTCCTCTGAGACCCAGGATCCTCACTGGCAGAATCTTTAGGGAGCCGTTGACTCCCTAAGAGAACACGGTTTGTAAGAGCCTAGGATGACCTACGTCTACACTGCGCTTCGTTCTTCCTCCAACACATCTGTGCCCATCTCAGGATCTCTGCCCACGCTTTTCTCTATGAATAAAGCAAGCTCCTTTTCCTCTTCCTCTGCTGGATTCTACTCACGACTTAGAGCTCAGCTTCGGAGTCCCCTTCCCCGGAGCCTTTCAGATCATTCTTTCTCTCGCTTTGCACTCCCTTCCACATTACCCTACCCAGTTTTATCTTCCCCCAGCTTCTGCGTGGGTGCTCAACCTCTTCAGTCCTGACTCTTTGCGACCTTATAGACTGTGTAGCCTGCCAGGCTCCTCTGTCCATGAGATTCTCCAGGAAAGAATACTGGAATGGGTTGCCATGCCCTCCTCCAGGGGATCTTCCCCACCCTGGGATTGAACCAGAGTCTCTTATGTCTCCTGCATTGGCAGGCATGTTCTTTACCACTAGCGCCACCTGGGATGCTCCCCACCCACCCCACTTCTAGCATTGCCTAATATTAATCATATATTCCATTAACTGTTTAAGATCTACAACTCCCAACAAAATGAAAGTAGAGCCTTATCTTGTTCCTCTGACCTCAGACCGAGCCTGCACCTGCACTAAACAGGCACTCAAGGAATGCTTGTTGAATAGATATATAAGCTCCCAGCCCTTACGCTCAATGTCTTATCTTGTTCACATGTCTTCCCTCCTCTCTCTCATATGTTAGGCAACCATATATGGGAGCTTGTATTAACTGTAACAAATAGAAACTTCTATCAGGGTTCTGGAGGTGAGCAGTCAGCAGAGCCTCCGTCCCTCTGAAATCTCTAGGAGAGGACCCCCCCCTTTTTTCCCCTTTTCAGCTTCTGATAGCCCTAGGCATTCCTTGGCTTCTGGCAGCATAACCCCAATCCTGGCTTGTCTTTACCTGGCCCTTTGCTCCATAGATGTCTGTGTCTTCACATGATCTCTGAATTTCTTCTCCTCTTCTTTTAAAGACACCAGTCATATTGGACTGCAGCCCTCCTAATGAAGGATCTCACCTTAACTACCTCTGTAAGGACCCTATTTCCAAAGAAGTTCGCATTCACAGGAGTGAATTCCCATTCTCATTTACTGGGCTTTAATATCTTTTAAGGGGGCATAACTCAACCTATAACAGAGGTGGTCCATGGAACACTGAAAAGAAACCGCTCAACTAAGCTGGAGGGTGGGGACGAAGACAGGAAGGGCAGCCGGTAAGTAGAGGACATGTGCGCCGGCTGACCAGCCAGCATTTCTGGGTGAACTCTCCTCCATCAAAAGACCTCTAGGGGACAACACTTCAACTTTAAGGGTTTCCACAAAAGTGGTTTCTACCCTGGCTTGGCCCCTTTCCAGGTGATAAATACCCAATTTCCAGACCCTCCACAAAGCATTTTATCTCCCTGTATAATAATTGGGCTCCTGAGAAATAGAAACCTATCAGGGACTATGCTAAGCCTCGACCCGCCTTCTCTTTTTTAAAGTTGACAATTGCTTGTGATTAGGACCTCTTCTTCACTGAATTTTACAGGAGAAACTGAGGTTCAGCCAGGTTAGGGAGCAGGCTCAAGGCTGTGTGTATAACCAGTTCTAACTCCAGAGAAAGCTCCAGGAAACCCAGAGGTACTCTTTGTCAGTTCCATGTGACTCAAGGGGGCACAAGTGTAATGCACAAGTGTGTGTTACACAGACATCAACAATGATTTAGGCTAAATTACAGGAAAAAATTCTCTAACACTTGTAATTAACAGTTTTTCCTGATTGGGCTCCTTCTGCCATCAGAGATTTCCGGGTTATTGCCAGTTTGGATTCTTCAGTGCTCTTCTGAAACCCAGCCCACTCTTCAGGGTGACTTCGAGGTATCTACTTCATTCTCTTTGATACAAACTGGCCATAAATGTGTTTTTCCGAGAAGAGGTTCACTAGCTTCTCCGCCCTAAGAGACAGAGGACCGGGAAGCATCCCAGCAATGACTCTGGCAGCGCAGAGCAGGGGTTACAGCTGCTGCTGGTGATCCACCTCTGGTTTGCCATTCTCTCTGCCAACTCTTGCTGTCTCAGTGGTGGGCATTTTTGCCTGCTACTGGTCCTGTCATCCTGAACGCCACTCCTCCGTGTGGAAGAACCATTCCAGCCCTGCCGGCTGATATCTAAGCACCTGGCCTTCGACAGGAAGGTGCTGGAAACCAATCTTACTCCATCCGGAGACTTGAAATAAACTTTTGGCTGTTTTTCCTGAAGAAACTTCGCTTCTGGGTGACGCTACTCCCCCTTCCCAATCTGGTCCTAATTAGGAGAAATTGTCTTTTGTAGAGAGCAGCATCAGAGTCAGTGATCACGGAGACTCTAGCAAAACGGCCCCTCTTCTTTCTTTGGGGAGGCGTGGCTCTATTCGCGGTATAGCTTCCTTCTGGAAGGTCGGAAGTGCACGAGGGAGTAGTTCTTCCCCCCACACCCAAACAGTCCTGGAGTTCTAAGCAACAGTAGAAAACGCTGGCATGGCAAACTCCATCTCCAGATTCTCCTACAATCACCGTCCCATCTGACTCTCGAAACAACCTACATAATAAAAATGAGGCTCTGGGCTTCAGACCTTAGGAAGCATTACTACGAACAAAGCTAGTGGAGACGATGGAATTTCAGTTGAGCTATTTCAAATCCTAAAAGATGATGCTGTGAAAGTGCTGCACTCAATATGCCAGCATATTTGGAAAATTCAGCAGTGGCCACAGGACTGGAAAAGGTCAGTTTTCATTCCAATCCCAAATAAAGGCAACGCCAAAGAATGATCAAACTACCGCACAATTGCACTCATCTCACACGCTAGCAAAGTAATGCTCAAAATTCTCCAAGCCAGGCTTCAGCAATATGTGAACTGTGAACTTCCAGATGTTAAAGCTGGTTTTAGAAAAGGCAGAGGAACCAGAGATCAAGTTGCCAACATCCACTGAGTCATAGAAAAAGCAAGAGAGTTCCAGAAAAATATCTACTTCAGCTTTATTGACTATGCCAAAGCCTTTGACCCTGTGGATCACAATAAACTGTGGAAAATTCTGAAAGAGATGGGAATACCATACCACCTGACCTGACTCTTGAGAAATCTCTATGCAGGTCAGGAAGCAACAGTTAGAACTGGACATGGAACAACACTGGTTCCAAATAGGAAAAGGAGTACGTCAAGGCTGTATATTGCCATCTTGCTTATTTAACTTATATGCAGAGTACATCATGAGAAACTCTGGGCTGGGTGAAGCACAAGCTCGAATCAAGATTGCCAGGAGAAATATGAATAACCTCAGATATGCAGATGACACCCCCTTATGGCAGAAAGTGAAGAAGAACTAAAGACCCTTGATGAAAGTGAAAGAGGAGAGTGAAAAAGTTGGCTTAAAGCTTAACATTCAGAAAACTAAGATGATGGCATCTGGTCACATCACTTCATGGCAAATAGATGGGGAAACATCGGAAACAATAACTGACTTCATTTTGGGGGGCTCCAAAATCACTGCAGATGGTGACTGCAGCCATGAAATTACAAGACACTCCTTGGAAGGAAGGTTGTGACCAACCTAGACGGCATATTAAAAAGCAGACACATTACTTTGCAAACAAAGGCCCCACTCAGCAAGGCTATGGTTTTTCCGGTAGTCATATATGAATGTGAGAATTGGACTATAAAGAAAGCTGAGTGCCCAAGAATTGATGCTTTTGAACTGTGGTGTTGGAAAAGCCTCTTAAGAGTCCCTCGGACTGCAAGGAGATCCAACCAAAGGAGATCAGTCATGGGTGTTCATTGGAAGGACAGATATTGAAGCTGAAACTCCAATACTTTGGCCACCTGATGCGAAGAGCTGACTCATTTGAAAAGACTCTGATCCTGGGAAAGATTGAGGGCAGGAGGAGAAGGGGATGACAGAGGACGAGATGGTTGGATGGCATCACTGACTCGATGGGCATGAGTTTGGGTAGACTCCAGGAGTTGGTGATGGACAGGGAGGCCTGGCGTGCTGCAGTCCATGGGGTCGCAAAGAGTTGGACACGACAGAGCGACTGAACTGAAACTGAAACTGGGCTTCAGGTCTGACGTTCCCCATCTTTGGAAAAGAAAATACTGAGACTCCGAGAGGTCCAGGGACTTCTTCGCCCAAGGTCCCACGGCGAGGATGCAACGAAGTTTCAAGAATCGGGATTCGAACCTGGGTCTTTTAAGGCCAGTTCCTTCACGGCGGCTTTCAAGAGAGAGAGACCCAGAGAGAGAGCATTTGGAAGGCTGAAGACCGGAGCTCCTTTGCCGCTCCTGGACTTGAAGCTCCACGAGGGCAGGGAGCAAAGGCCTTCTTCCTCGGGGCCCACGATCGCTCGGCTTGGGTCAACGATATAGAAGCACGACTGGTTCTCCTTTGGTGGGGGCGAGCGGCTCTCGGGGCCAGCGTGATATCGCACCGCATTGGATGTAGAGGCTCCGGGTGCGAGCGCTGAGCTCAGGAGCCCCGGGGGTGCTCGGCAAAGATCTGAGAGCCGGCTGGGGAGGACGCAGCCTTAGGGACCTCGGGCGCCGGGTGCGCTCCGGACGGGCCTCCACCCGCACTGCGCACGCGCGGCGTCGCCGGGCTCCGCCCCCCGAGTAGGGACCTACAGCGGGCGCGGCGGCGGCGGTGGTGGCCAGGCGCTGGCGGTGTAGACAACCCCCCTTCTCTGCGGGACCCAGACCAGCCGGCCCGGTGAGTGACTGAGCCGGTGGAGGGGCGAGGGTGCCGGGTCCCGCGTGTGCGGGGTAGGCGGGCGGGCCCAAGGGTGCGGAGAGGGGCCGCGCGGGGTGCAGAGGCCGGACGAGGCCGTGCCGGGCGCGGGCTGCCGGGGCCGGGAGGTGCGGGGGCTTGGCCTCCGCGTGCCCGGGGCCGCCCGGCCGGGCGTCTGTGGCCGGAGGCCCCGGGGCAGATGCGAGGCGGCCGCTGGCTCGGGCTGGACGCGGAGGAGGAGGAGGGGGCGGCGGCCTGGACGGGAAAGGGGGGGTCCCCCGCCGGGCCTGACTGAGTGTGGGAGGAGGGGCGCGGGGCTGGGATTGGGGAGAAGGGGGCGCGGAGCCAGGGATCGCGGACCCCCGGGGGTGGCGGTAGATCTGCGCGCCCGACGCCCCCGCGCTCGTCCGCCTTTGTGCCGCTGCGACCCCGCACGCTTGCCCCCGAGAGCGCCGGGTCGCGACCCTCGACTGCGGTGGCGGCGGCGGCAGCGTCCCGGCTTGCGGGGCGCCGGGCCCGGCCTCCTCCGCCCGCCCCCAAGCGTTTTAAATGATGCATTTCTCCTGGGAGAGCTCCTACCGGTCGGCTCCGAGCAGGAAGTGTCGTCAGGAGGGCCATTTTTAAAGCCTCCTGCGGGCCTCGGAGGTCCGCGTTGACGTGGTCCGGTCTCCGAGACCAGAAGGACGCCCCCCCTCGCCGCTGCCCCCCCCGCCCCCGCGCCGCTCCCCGCTCCCCCTGCTGGAAGGGGGCGCGGTGTTACCCGTCTGCGCCCCGCGCGCCTGCCGTTCCCCGCAGCCGCGCTGCGCGACGTGGATTCGCCCTGGATAACGCCAACCGTCGGTGTGCGCGTGCCAACAATAAACTGGAAAACCCGACTTGGCATTGTCTTTCCTTGGGAGTTTGGGGGCACGTGCCCAGGGTCGGGCTTGTCCATGGAGGGCCTCTGTGCTGGAGAGGGGCGTAAGGGGACAGTAGATGACGGTTGGTCTCCTTCTATAAATGCTGACGTCACTCTTTGGGGGACCTTACCCCAGTCCCAGATACTTTTGTATCTTATTGCCTTGGGGGCGGTCTTTGGGCAGTTTAAAGCCAAAGAGACCATGCAGGGTGCAAAAGAACGAAAATGCCCGAATCGGAAAGGGAAAAAAGCCAAAGGAGAGAATGAAGAAAACACTTAAGTTCCTCTGTATACGTTAGTTATTCAGTGTATCCCGTGAAAATACCCATAATTTATAAAAACTGGGATAGTGAACAGTTTATTAACCTAAGGTAGGAAAATGAAAAGTGAACTACTAAGTACTAAGCACTGTGTTCTGATTAAAAATGAACGTCTACACGCCTAAACTGTGGTGTTAGATCCCTGAAACATTACCCCTTAAGCTTAGAATTGAAGCCACCAAGAGTGAGACAAAACGTTGGTCTCCTGGAGCAGGCAGCCCTTTCTTATGGAAGAGCAGAGAGGATAGGAATGTGTTCCTTTATCTCTGAGTCAGGTATGCAAAGTTCATTCCAATCCCTGACTCTTCCCAGCTGGAGATACTGGCCCAGCAAATGGTGGTTTAAAAACCAGTATCGCAATATAGTCTGTTTAGGTAGAATACAAATGTTTGACTTTTAAAATTGTATCAATGTTATCCTTAACCTAGGATGCATTTTAAAAAGCTTTTTATTTTTTAATCTTGGATCTAATATAGCCTTGAAAAATAATACTTTTGTACGTATTTAGTTTTGTTGGGCTGCTAAACATTTATTGCAAGGTGCTTCTTGGAAACAGACAAAGGAGGTCATTATTTATTGGGCCTCCTCCTTCATGTGTTATGCCAAACTAGTGTAGATTTTTAAAAGTCTAGTAATAGCGATTTAAAAATGCACATAGGTCTACTGATCTATTCACTTGAAAGTGAGGAGATCTGGGCCAGTTTATGAGGAGAAAGAAAAACAAAGAACATTGTTAGTGTCGCCAGGAAGGCTGACATTTTTTTCATTCATCGACTCTTTCATTCAGCCAATACACATTTGAGTGCCTTGTGTGACCAGCCTGTGGTAAGCAGGGTCCCCACCAGTGAAGCTTTCTCGGTCTCGATTGTTCTCAAGCAGCCTGGTACAGATGGCATTTTCTTTGTTCAGACTCAGCCAACTGCAGTCCCTAGAATGCATCCTGGGGATGAAAGTGGCTGGAGACCATCGGATCCAGACATTCTCATCTGAGCTGGGGAGTGGGGAGGCATCAGAATGACCTGGGAAGAATATGAGCCTTGTGCCTGAGCCTACCCCCAGAGAAGTGCAGTCTGAGTCATTCTTCCACCTGAGTCATTCTTCCACCTGAGTCCTGGGAAGCCTTTTCCCCTTTTATTTTAAGCTCCCTTGCTGGAGAAGCGCTTTGGGGGCTCAGCCCCCTTTTCCTGTACAAGCAAGAAGGACATGGAGAAACCAAGGCTACACAGACCCAGGATTTAAACCCCAGTATCTGGCTTCTGTTGCAGGACCTTTGTACGGTGCCTCGCTGCCTCCCAGGGTTCTGAGCATAGAGGCCTGGGGTTGAGACCAGATAGGACTCGGTGCCTGGGAAGAGCCCATGGGACTTGGCATGCTTTTGACTCACTCAGCTGCTCGATGGCTGTGGGCAGGAAGTAAGAATGGTGCCCACCTGTGACTGCTGTTCCCAGCCTCCCTGAGCAGGGTAGCAGAAGGAATTTAGGTTAGACGCCAGCTGACCGACTCCATGACCTGGGAAAAGCCAGTTTCTCCAGAACTTAAAAGAAGCAGGTAATTGGAGGGGGCACTTTGAGGAGTAATGAAGGTAATGCATGAATCTGCCTCCATACCCCACCCCCCATTTCCACCTGACTTGGGCCGCAGTGCCCAGCATTGGTAACACAGCTAGCCACTGAGAGCATCGGCATCAGATCACTAGTGTGACATTTACCACCTCCCTGAAACACCTGTTTACTTTGCTGCATCCTCCGTCCACACAGCAGGCTGGGCAGGGGTCCGGTAAATAGCCCTGACTCATGCCCATTGTGCTCACGCCGTGCCAGGCACGTTTCAGTTTCCAAGAGTCTGCAAACGGATTACTGTCATTACACACTCCACAGGGCATCAGTGATGATGTTTCCAAAGTCAAAAGTCTAATAAGCAAGAGTCTACCAGAGTCTACCTTCCGGTGTCATTACAGTTAAGGCAGCGGCCTTGCCTCACCTCCAGGCGCCCAGGGATGAATTGGTCTGTGAAAGGTTGCACAGGAGTGTTGAGATACAACACTTGCTCCGCTGCAGCTGTAATGTCCAGTGGGGGTTCTCAACCTTGACTGCACGTTAGAACCACCTGGCAGGCTTTTAAAACGCCCTGAGCCTTCCCCCCACACACAGGGGGGGGCCCAGGCATCATTGTTTTTAAAGCTCCCCAGGTAAATTTGCTATGTAGGAGAGTGACTAAACATCACAGAGACCTCGTTAAAGAAATTTAGCATCCCAGACATATTCTGACAGGTTGACTACCCTGATGTAGCCAAGGTTAAGAATCAGTGGGAAGTAATTATACTTTTTTTATTTAACTCTTACTCCATTTCTTCTACAAAACTTTGACTTTAAGGCAAAAAAATGGAGGGAAGTACAAAGATGTATTTGTCCTTCATTTTTATCACCTTTAGAGACCTGAAGTCATAGTAAGTAGTACTACCTTGTGTTTGAAAGTGAAAGTAGCTCAATCATGTCCGACTCTTTGCAACCTCATGGACAACATAGTCCATGGAATTCTCCAGGCCGGAATACTGGAGTGGGTAGCCTTTCTCTTCTCCAGGGGATCTTCCCAACTCAGGGATTGAACTCAGGTCTGCTGCATTGCAGGCAGATTCTTTATCAGCTGAGCCACAAGGGAAGCTGTCTTTCTTAAAATGCTAGCAAGAGCATAGTTGCCTCTTAAGTTTTTTTTTTTTTTTACATGTATAGAACCCTAAGTTTTGACACTAGTCATATTCTTTGTTTAGAAATGTTATCTCTTAAATTGTTCAAAAATAATAACTTCTTTTGTTCTCTGATGCTATCTCAGTTCCTGCACTCTGCAGTGTCAAGTCTGCCCCTAGGGAACTCCTTTGTGGACTGGAGAGTGGGGGAGAAGAGCCTTGCCTCCAGCCAGAGACCTTTTATCTCATTAGGCTTATTTGTTAAACTAAGAATGTGCTCCTCTGTGATGGCTGGAATCTTCTACACTTGAAAGAATCTTTCTTAACCAGAAATATGTTGGCTTATTTCTTGACAAAACCTGTGGCTTGCCAAACATAAGGCTACCTGCTCACTGCATACACCATTTCCTCAGGTCAGTCATGTCAATTAGGGTATAACTCCCATTTTACAAGTGAGGAAACTCAGGCCAAGAGAGGTTAATGAGTCCAGAATGACACAGCTCCAAGTCAAAACCTAGGTTTTAAACCTTGCTCCTGGTAACCCATGAAGATTGCTCTTCCCACTCTCGTGCACTTTCTTTCCACCTGGAAAGCTGAGGAATCGGAACACAGGCTCTCTTGCCCAGACTTCTTGCCTTATTCTGCATGCTCCAAGTGATACACTTGGATTCAGAAGGAAGTCTAAGATCCCAGAGGTGTACATTTGTCAGCAACATTTAGAAGTCTTTCTTGCCATTAAGGTGGCCATCAGTTCAGTCATTTCAAGTGAAAAGTAGATGAGAACAAAGGAAATACTTCATTGATGTTTCCCATTGTGTGGATCTATTTACCAATTCAGTTCAATTCTGATTGTTTGTCTGAAAAACTTCTTGCTGAGTGAGAACATTGTTTCTCCTTGAATACTGACTTACTGGGGAGGTGTTGGCAGTTTACACACCTAATGTGGGACTGTTGCCCTGACCAGGTGTCACTTATTTACATACTAATGATCACTTAGGGGTAGAATGTTTTAAATTTTTGGTTATTGAAAAAATAAATTTTTGGTTATTGAGACACGTCACTTAGACTAGCCTATGCTCTCTATGGCTTAATAGACAAAATGAAAGGATTCCTGCCTTCGAAAAGCTTTCTCATTTGCTTCTCTGTCCAAGAAAGGATGCAGTCAGCCAGCTAAAATTTACTGAGTTTGGTGGGCATCTCATGAACACAAGATGTATGTGATAATCTGTGTAGCATACATATGATTTAATTGCCTAGCAACTTTTTAAAAAAAAATTTTGCTCATTAACATCTAGTGTGGGAACACATTCATTTGCTACAGGGATAATGCACAATTTAGCTGAACTTGGAAAGGAAAATTCAGTCAGTACACTGGATTATATGTAAACCTAAGTTGTAGTGAACACTCTTGTAGATAAAGCATCTTTTCCTTGGCAACTATAAGCACCTGTTGGCCTGTTTGCCACTAAGGCAAGGTGGATGGCTTGACCCCAGAGGTAAATTCCCTTTTAGACAGTACAACCTGGCAACTGTAATTAAAATTATAAAATGAGATTCACTGTGTACTCCAGAAAAAGCCAGGTAACAAAGAAGTATGTGTTTTAGCTCCTTGGGCTACTTATGTGATAGGCACCATTTCTTCTATTTTCTTCATAAAATAAGGGAAAATAATATTTTTAGCAGTTGTGTGTGAGTGACTTAGAACCTAAGTGCTTATAGTCACACTGTCCCACCCAGTCCTCACGACAGCCCTGAGACAGTAGTAATTGTTCGGTCGCTCAGTCATGCCCAGCTCTTTGTGGCCCCGTGGACTGTGGGGCACGGCAGGCTTCCCTGTCCTTCACTATCTCCCAGAGTTTGCTCAAACTCCTGTCCATCGAGTCGGTGATGCCATCCAGCCTTCTCATCGTCTGTCATCCCCTTCTCCCGCCTTCAGTCTTTTCCAGCATCAGGGCCTTTTCTAATGAGTCAGCTCTTGACATCAGGTGGCCAAAGTATTGGAGTTTCAGCTTCAGCATCAGTCCTTCCAATGAATGTTGCAGTAGGTACTGCTACTGTCTGTTTTATAGTTGGACAGTTTGCTTCAGGTTAGGCCTGGAAAGCAATGGGATAGGCTTGGAAACCCTATGATCTGATTCCAGAATCTGCTGCCTTAAACATTGTTTTCCTGCTTTCTGTTCTTCTATTGACACTTGACATGTCCAGTATTTAGAAATCAGATGCTTCCTTTTTAATAAAAACTTACATGCCCTTCATGAGTTTTATAGACCTCAATGTCACTGGACTGGTTTCTAACAAACTCAGAGTTTTTCTCCATCTGTCCCTCCAAATAAATGTTTAAGTCACCAGGTCAAGTGAGCTCAAAGTCAGAAGGAAACCTGGCAGTGGTGGGTGCTGCTATGCTTTTTCCCGGGAAAAGGCAGGACTCAGTCTAACGGAAGCATGTTTGTCACACATTGTGTGCCGCCTCTTTGTCCATGGATGTCATCTTTCTCTGATGCTGGAGGTAATCGTGCATTATAAAGCACTTTTCGCCCTTTAAAAACGGGCAGCTTAACATTAACTTTTATTTACCATGTCTGAAGTTAATAATACTAAGTATCTTCTGTGTTTTTGAGAGCCTTTCTAAGTGAACTTTAAAAAAGTATGTCTCTAGTCCTAGGAGATCCAAGGCAGGGATGTTGTAAAGGTTACCGTGAGTTTGGAAGGTAGGTGATCCCTGAGACTGATGTTACTCATAATTGGTTAGTGGCCTCTCAGCATCTGGCCCACACATGGCCCTTACACCGACAGTGTCTTGTGTAATTCTTGGTCATCAGTTCACTGGGGAGTAATCTGCCAGAGGGCCCAGGTTCACAGGTGGTTGTACCTGAGTGTGAACGAGGTAGAGGAAGGGGCGTGGAGGGAGCAAGGTCCTGGGGACGCATTTCAGGTGTGCTTGGCACAGCGTCAGTGTCCAAGTGTAAATGCCAACATCAGAGCCATCTCCTCCTTCCACTGTGTCCGTTTACCTCTGTCTTGGATGCTACATCTGAGATCTTTTTCACCCGTGACTAGCTGCACATTATGATAGCCAAGGAGAACTTTGTTTTGAAGAAGCTGGACATCTTTGTCACCTGGACGGAGGGAAGCACCAAGGTAGAAACTGTATAGTTTTGAGACTGGCTTAGAGGCCAAGAAGGTACTTTGCAGCAGGTGACGTCATTGGGTCATGCATGGCCTAGCACCTTGACTCCCCCATTAAACTGTATTTTCTAATCACAGTTCATGCTTCGTATTGGCGCTTGCTTCTGTGGATTCCTTATTCAAAATAGCTGCTAGCATGGCCTTGCAGAAGCACCTCCAGGAGGCACCTGCGCTGCGGAGGCACTGAGCAGGCGTGGTTGGTTCTCTAGACTTTCTGCCAGTGGGATGTTCTCCACTTTTCGCTAAGGTCTTTATCACCCAGCCCAAGTCTCCAGTCCGGGGGGAATGACACCTCCACCTTTCAAAAGGATTTGGAGAGGAAATGGCAAAACTGCCTATTCTGTTTGTTTGTTTTTTAAAGAATTGGTAAGCAGGTTATACCAGGCAAGCAAGTTACTTTCTCCCACGTCCCCTCCTTTTCCCTCCCTCCCTCCCTCTCTTTCTTCTCTCTCCTATTCCTTTCCCTGCTCTCCTTCCTCTCTCTGTTTCTTGCTCACTCAAGATTATGAGGCTGGTATGCACATCTTGTAAACAGAATTGAGACGGGATGAGAGAGGGAAGGGGCAGATAAATGACTGGTCTATCTGGGATTCAGTGGTTTGTAGCTCCAAGGTCAAGATCTGAGAAAGTTACAGGGATGCTGGTTTCAGTTTTATTGAAGGGTAAATTCTGGACAGTGAAACTGCCCAAAGAGGGAAGGAGTTTGGTGTCTGGCAGTTGCTAGAGCTTCAACTGCATGACCAGCTGGCGAAGATGGTTTAAAAGATTGAATTGTTGCTGGAAGTCTCAGCCATTGATTTCTGATAGTGCCTTTTCGTCAGAATTACATGAGTGACCACGGGCACCTCTTCCCCATCTCTCTCCCACTGAAGTTTACATTCGTGAGCTTTGGGGTGAAGCCCAGGAGTATCTCTCTTTGCTATGATTCTGTGGCTCCTCCAGCTTCAGGAACCACTGGATCAGATCCCCTTTTCAGCCTCTGCATTCCTCGGACCAGTGGTTTTCTTACGCTCTGCCTGCAGCCATTGCTTCCTCTGTTTTAGTAGGATGGAAATGCCAACTGAACATGTGGGCAATAGTAGCATTCTTAGATGATCAAATGTGTATGACTTCAGCCTTTCAGACTTATTTTGTGTGGCCCTTGGCTTGTGAGCAGGATCCCAGAAGGAAAGGGCTAATTCCCATTCGTGTTTCTGCCCATCTGAACAGACACTGAGGCCTTGTGTGACTCTTGACACTTGGGGAAGCGCTTGAAAAGTACATACGCATTGTCTTGTATTCTTTAGCACTTTAGTCCTCATGCAGCTCTGTAGAGGAAGCTGGGTAAGTGTCTGTAATTCTGATTGCCAGATGATGAAAAAAAAAATGATGCGAGAAAGGTTGAAAGTGTTGTTTTTTTTTTTTAAGATCATGAAAGGAAGGCTTTCCACAGATCCTGAACTAAAATGGCTTTTGCTTAGCTGCTAGTTCTGTGTATGCTGAAAAAAGAATGTGTGGTGAAAGAAAACTATTTTTGTGTGAGAATCACTGCGTTGCACGCGTTGTGGTACTGGCTCCAGACAACAGGAGTGCAGTTCCGGCTGCCTCCCTCTCCCTGTCTCCCTGCTGCCTTCGTTTCGCCCTCCCAGACCTGGGTCCCTGCAGCAACTTGGAGGCAGTGGCTGGGATAAAGGTCAGGGCATGTCGCGTCGCAGCTCCAGCCTCTCCCCAGGTCTCCCTCACATGCGGGAGAAGCCACGTCCTCACGATGCCGCACTGTCGGTCTTCCCTGGACCCGTCTCCCCTTCCCCTGACCAGATCTGCCCCCCCCCGCCCAGCACCCCCTTTCTTGTTCACTGACCCCCAGCCTCCTTGCTGTCGCTCAGGTGCTCCAGGCCCACTTCCCACAGACCTTCGCCCTCCCTATGCCTGAAGCTCCCTCCGCCCCAAGCTCCCTCCGCCCCAGTGTCGGCTTATCCTCAGGCCCCTCCAGACTGTCCACACCCCACACCCCAGCCCTGCGGCCTCGCCCCCTACTCACGCCCAGTCCCCCTGGCCTGGTTTTATGGTATGTTTTCCCCAATCACTGACCACCTTCTGCCCAATAGAGAAACACTTGTTTTCTCCCCTCTCTGCACTCTCATGAGGGGAGGGGTGAATTTATTTCTCATCACTGCCCTGTAGAAGCTGGAGCAGTGCCTAGCACCTGATAGATGCTTAGTAAGATGCGAAGCAGGTATTTGTCTGCCTTGTGTTGTCAGAATGTTGTTGGCTTCCAACCACGTGTTCAAGCAGATGGGGTACATGAGAGAGCTGGGATCCATGCTCGTGACTCAGTGTACATAGAAACATATGGACCCTGGAGCCGGTGTCCTGGTTCTACCACTTATGTGTGTTTAGAAGCTAAAGTGACAAAAGGTATTAGGGAGGTTGATACAAAATTACACTTGTGTAGTTGCTAGATGCTCTCCATGACACTTAAAAGTAACTCACTCAGCAAAGGCCATCCTGAGTGACTGCCATAATTATTACCCTGCTAAAGTGATGAGTTTTAGAGGGTAGAGTTTGAAAATATCTTCATCTGAGGCCTGTTATTTGCCAGTTCTATGGTACTACGTACTGTGTGTACCAGGGCTTCCCTGGCGGCTCAGCTGGTAAAGAATCCGCCTACAATGTGGGATACCTGGGTTCCATCCCTGGGTTGGGAAGATGCCCTGGAGAAGATGCCCATGGACTGTACAGGGTAGCAAAGAGTCAGACACGACTGAGCGACTTTGACTTCACTTCTTTGTACTATGTGTTACTATCAACATGTGCACCAAGATACTAGGTGAAGATTTAGCAGAAAATTCCCAAGGTCATCGAAATAGAGGGTAAGTCTGGAAACATGTTAGCTAAGCTAAACCTTAAGTTCCTGCATTAATCATGCTTTATGATTTCTTTATTTTCCCCTTAGTGTTGCCTGGAATATCAGAGAATTGGAAGCAGTCACGTTGAGGATCCTGACCTGCTTTATGAAGAAAGATAACCAAGTATGCTCCTAGGTACGCTGCCACAAAGTGTACCAAAGATGCTTCCTAAGGATTTTATCATATGAAGTCTTTCTGGATTTCAGCGGGCTTTTTAGAAATGCAGATGAAGAGATGAAGGACATTGGACAGCAGCTCTGTAGCACACAAGTTGGTGACGGATGCAATGCCTTGACCATGTCACCCAAACAGCCTAATGCTCATCGAGGGACTCGACCAGATAGACCAGACGCTCAGACTCTTCTGTATCAAGGCTCCGAGGCAGAGGCTGCTGCCATGACTGTTGCTACGTGTGTAAAGTGCAAGAGTGTGCACGAGGTCCCACTTCAGGATCTGAAAAAGGGTACTGGACAAAGCCAGAAGGAGGACAAATACGTTTGCTTCAAATGCAGCCTTGGCGCGGCCCCTCCCCATTTCCACTTTGTGAACAACAGTCGCAGTGCTGCTCAAGTAGGAAATAAACCGGAAGCCATCTCAAGTTCTGTCAATCACAAGTTTAAGGTAAGGAACTTCAAGCCAGGCAAATACTATTGTGACAAATGTCGATTTTCCACAAAGGACCCCCTGCAGTACAAAAAGCACACACTTCAGCACGAAGAGATTAAGTTCGTCTGTTCCCACTGCGGCTGCATTTCCTACACGAAAGGGGAGTTTCAGAGGCACCTGGTGAAGCACACGGGCGTTTTCCCTTATCGGTGTGAGTACTGTGACTATGGTGCTATCAGAAATGACTACATCGTCAAACACAGGAGGAGAGTCCACGAGAAGGCAGGGGCCAAACGGCTGCCCAAAGCCGTCGCCAGGCTGGAGCCAAAAAGGATCAGCGCCTCCAAGCAAAACCCAGAGCTTTCAAAAGCTTCCAGTCCCAGGACTGCGTTTCAAAATAAGTTGTCAGATCAGCTCTCAGGGTTTCCCCTCCACGCAAGTAAAGACAGGACTCACAGCATCACGTTGTTGCCTGAATCCAGAGAGTACCAGAAAGACGTGGTGTGCATCCCACACAAAGGGGCCCTGTCAGAGCCCACTGAGGTCAGCCTGCTGGGGAACAGAAGTGTGGAGGTGGAGGTCTTGTCCCCCTCGAAAGAGCCCGTGCAGCCGGGGATGCCGTTAACGGTGGTGGCGCCAGCCGAGCTCGTCGTCCCCGCCAACTGTCTAGCCCAGCTGATGGACGTGAAGGTTGTCAACGGAACGCAGCAGCTCGTGCTCAAACTGTTTCCCCTGGAAGAAACCAACTGCCTCGATGCCAGTGGAGGTGATGGAGGTAGTTCCGAACGTGGGTCTAAAGAGAGGGGTGCAAGCGAGCAGGAAAAAATGGCTTCCACAGAGCCCATGCAGTCCCTTGCGATCGAAGGGAATATCGGAAAACTTGCAGGCATCGGTAGTCTACAGTCATCAGTTCAGAAGCAACTTAAAAATGTGAAATGGATGAGGTCTTACGATTTTTTCATGCCAAATTCTGGCCGGCACAGCAGCGGAGGATCCCTGCTCAACCCGGGGAGAGTTGAGAGTTTGCAGAGAAAAGGTTACCCGTATCCCCATAGAGCTGCTCTGCCTTCCATTGCCTTCAAAGGCCATTCTCCATTATCTCTAGTGAAAAACAGTGTCTTACGTGGTCTTGGAACTTCATCGACCTCTTTTCCATATAAAACTGCCCTTTTTACTGAAGACAGAAGAAACTTACCCAGTGACTCGCAGCAGTTACTACCTGTGTCTGCACCGCCTGCAACCATTTCCTTCTCTGGAGAAACGGACTCACTGCCCCTATGTCAGAATGACGTGGGCTCTAGGAATGAGATCAGCCTTCCTGCAAAAACGGTTGCCCCTCCCAGGAAGCTGCAAGACAGCCAGACACAGGAGCATAAGGCAGTTTCAAACACGGGCCAGACTTCCTCTCAACACAGAAGTGAGTATTTACACATCAACATAATGGGAGAAGACAGAGTCAGAGCCCAACAGTCTGGGGATAAACCACTGGAATTAAAGAATCCCGACCAGACTAATGACTCCTTCGATGGTCCGGTCATCTCCTCAGTCTTTTCTCTGAGCTCTGGATCTGAAAACGTCCCTGAGGGCGTCAGGTGGAATAGTTCAACATCCAAAATAAAGTCAATTGAACTCTTGCGCAGAAAGATAGCCCAGTTAATCGAATCCTGTGGCAAGCCTTCATCTCTGGCTGCAAACGGCGCCCATCGACATCCTGTAGGGAAGGCATCTAAGGTCACTTCAAAAGCCACGCCTGAATGCATCCAGGAAATTAACGTGTCCTTCACCAGTGCTGGCTGTTCCACGGGCATGCTCCCCAGACCTCAGGATGCTGATGGTGTTAGTGGGCAGCTCATGCACCGGCAGGCGTATCCGAAGCTTGTCGAAGGCAGCAGTGGGAAAACCGAAAGCAGAGTGACCAAGAAGCCACATGTGGCTACTCCAGTGTTGATCCCCAAGGGGGCCGTGTTGAGGGTTCTTAATTCCTCTGAGGATTCCCACATTATAGAGGCGACCTGCGAAGCACCTGTCAATATCCCATGCAGTGAGACACAGTTAATAAAGCCCATTCCGCTCTGCCCAATGAAACGGACAGACCCGGACGTACAGTTTTTGACGAGTGAAAGTGGACCCATAGATATGTCCCCAAATCACGATCTGTCTTTTCGGCCTAAATCACGAAAAGAGAGTGCCCATTGTAGCACTGTGCCCAAAAAACCCAGACCCCTGCATGGCCCGCAAGGAAGCAGTGAAATGAGCAAGCAAGCGAAACTGTTTCCCAGAAGTCTTCCCATCAGTAAAGGTAAACCCAGACAAATCAGCTCGTCTAAGAAGAAAAGCAAAATCCAGACTGACCCCAGCCGCTGTTGCCGGGATCCTTCCATCTTTCAGGTTGCAAGACAGCTTCGACTGATTGCAGCTAAACCAGACCAGTTGATCAAATGCCCCCGTCGGAACCAGCCCGTCATTGTGTTAAACCATCCTGACGTCGACTCACCAGAGGTGTCCAACGTGATGAAGGTGATAAATAAGTACAAAGGCAACGTCCTCAAGGTGGTGTTGTCAGAGAGGACTAGGTGTCAGTTAGGCATGAGGCGGCACCACGTCCGACTGACCTACCAGAACGCGGAGGAAGCCAATCAGATCAAAAGGCAAATGATGCTGAAAATGAAACTGAAGAAGGTTCATAAAAACAACTACCAGGTGGTGGATTCCTTGCCTGATGACTCATCGCAGTGTATATTTAAGTGCTGGTTTTGTGGGAGGCTCTACGAGGACCAGGAAGAGTGGATGAGTCACGGCCAGCGGCATTTGATAGAAGCAACCAGAGACTGGGATGTTCTTTCTTCCAAGGGCAAATAAGTGAAAAGCCCATCTCAGAAGCGCGGTGTTCTTCCTCCTTTTCAGTTGGTCCTGGTTTGGGTGGTTTGGTTGTGTGTCCCTTCCTCACTCAGTGGGGGAAATAGAGGCTGCAGGCATGGGAGGGCGGGTCAGTCTTGCGATCCTCCCAGGAATGCAGAGAGCCACGCGTCTGAGCCCATGCCTGGTGCCTGGACCTCAGAAGGGTCTGTGTCCCTGAACGAGTGTGCACAGATTCACATACATGCATTTGTTAGGGGAGAAGGGAAACTCGGAACAGATTTTCAGTGGGATCTGAGATTTCTCTTCAGTCAGCAGCCTTTTTCTGAGTAGATAACAAATCTTTTCTTATCCATTCAAAGGGGCAAGTTTAGAACGTTTGACACATGCTCTTTATATAACAAAATGCTACTGAAGAATTAAACCCAGGTCTTGGTGTGCACATCCCTTGTTTTTTTTTTTTCTTTTTGCGTTAACTTATCTCCTAAATACTTGGTACATAATGGAGATTACATTTTCTACTTCGTTATCTTAAATTTGGTTGTGAGAAAGTGGCATTCTTTTAAATCCCTCACCCACTCTGCAGTGTTGCCGAGTGTTCACTGTAGCACAGATAAATTGTGCTTTTGTTGACCCCTTTAAAGAATGATTCCAAAGTTTGGCCTGAGTTTGCAACAGCAGATGTTAGGGGAAGAATAAAAGATGTTAAAGCTTTTGCTTTCTTTTTCAAGTACCTTGATTTATGATGGTGGGGGAGGGAATGTGCCTTTTTGGAAGAAGAAAAAAAGAGAAAACACCTAAAGTTGTCTCCCGTTTGCCCTTATCACTCTCCTGAGAGTCGGCTGAGTAATCCACGTCCACTGTGAATGAACAGGCTCCTTTGAACCTGGATGAAGTTTGGGGAGACAAGTCAAGGTAGGATTGGAAAGCAAGTTGGGGCTTTAGTGAGACTGTGAGTTTTTGTTTGGGAGCTCCCCACAAACCAAGGCTGGGGGCTGCAGGCTCTGTCTTCACCACCTGTGGGTCAGATGCTGCACACACACACACACACACACACACACACACACACACCCACACCCACACACCCCTCCCCCGCCAGGTCGTATTCTGCCCTCCCTTGGTGGGTTTTCTGAACAGGCCCTCTTGTGGAATAGACTGCTTCCCCACTCACCTGTCCACTCCTTACGATTTTTCCCTCCTGAAAACACTGTGAACAGGCAGGAATCTGCAAAATGGAAACCTCCCCACTGTCTTTATTCAGGCTCTAGGAACACTGTACCCTATCTTCATCGATGGTAATCTCTAACTGATCTCAGCTGCAATCAGGCCTTCCCTGTTGCTCACCTCGCCTGGGAGGCGCCTCCACAAACACTCCAGCTCCCCTCCACCAGCAGAAGGTAGGGCTGGCACTGGTCTCCGCAGCCCGCCCTCTGCACCACTGTGGCTGCATGGGCAGGTGGATGGCTTGGCAAGCACAGATCAGCCTGGGTTGTAGTCCTCACATGCCCCCCACCTCCCCCAGCCAGCCGCGAGCCGGCCATAACACAGAGCACAAATGCAAGGCAGCCCCAGGGCACATGTTTTCCTTCCTTTTGGACTCCTTCCTTAGAGAACCGGGGGGTGATTATATCTGAAAAGGGCATGAGCAGGCTTCTTGTTGGCTTGTCAGTTGAAGGCTTCCTGATCCTTTTCCACGTGGGGAAGTCTTAGGTTATCCTCTGATACATTTGATTGTTAATACTTTGTAGTTGGTTCTCATTGCAGATAAATTGACGTGGTTTGTGTGTAGTTTAATACATAATCATTACGTTGGTTTATTGGTTAGTTTTTATTGAAATTTGAAACTTGGGTTTTTTTATATGTGTATATACTTGTGTACACATATATTTTTTACCATATGAAGACTCGGTAGCTAATTTTCTGATTTCCTATTTTATAATGGAGTTATGTGGGCTGGAAAAATACAAAACATTTTATATTCTAGAAATAATTTATTTTGGCAGTACATTTTTATAATGGTCTGATCTTGATTGTAGAAAATGAAAGCACAGTAAGTGATGGGTCTGATTTCCATGAACAAATGGGTGTAGAAACCCCTGTGAACTGTTTCAGTACAGTATTTAGTCCTTGTGCATTTCCAGTTGGTGCTCTTTGGGAAATGGGTCGTGTGTACCACTTCACTACATAAAGGAGAGCATTCTTCAGTTTTATCCACAGAAGACTTGTTATCCCCCAACCCCCTAGCATGAAAGAAGGCTCTTAAGAGTTGAAGGGAGAAGAAAAGGCTGTGACTTTTTTTTTCCCCCCTATACCTCACTGCTTGGTAGCATCTTTCCTGAAAGGCTATACCCTTGATCTTCCAGGAAAGATGACCTTGAATCAGGTCAGAGTGTTAAGTGTCAACATGAAGTATTCACACTTGGCAGCATCAACTGTTTTTCAAGTATTAACTAAAAGTCAACTAATGTACAGAGCAAAATTTTGTGAGTAGAACATGTAGCTAGGCTTCTTGAGATTTTCAGTACCTTTTAAGGAATTAAGAGAGCTTCCTGGAAGTCATAAAAAAATGAGAAAGCAAAACATGTCTGTCTTCCTTATATAAAGAACCTTAGAAAATAGTGTGTTAACATGTAGCTTAATGTCATGAAACGAACAAAATTGGAGAAGGTAGAGGCAGAGCTGTGTTGAGTATTTGTCAACTTTCTTACCTTAATTTTGAAGGATCTCTACTCACTAAATGATATTCATAGTTCTTAATACAAAAGTCATTAACTTATTTTTTTAACGTAGACTTTCTTACTTTGGGGGATCAGGAATGAGACGATCTTCCTATATTTATGATATGACAGTGAAAAAAAAATTTTTAACATACCCAGAGGCTATTTTACTCAAATTTTTATTCCCAGTCCAAAACACTTTGAGTCCCTCTTATGGGCCAAGAGCTGTTGGTTGAACTAAATTGAACACATTGTATTAACACTGAACACAGTGTATTAACCCTCCAAAGTTCCATCCCTCTTTTTTTTTTTTAGGACATAATGATATAAGCCACTCCAGAAAACGAAGACGTGATGCTGCTCAGCCTTTGGGATATTTTTTGAATCTGTCAGTGTCTGATTGAGCAGAAAACAAAACATCACATAACATGTTGTAAGCATTATTATGTGTCCTGCATTAACAGTCTGTATCTCTGCTGCTCTGACTTTGAAACATGTTATGTATATAGATAGAGACGTTGGCGTAAATTTTGTTAAATAAAACAACTGTAAAATTCTCTCCGTCCTTTCATTTCACATGTTCTGAGAGTTGGCTATTACACAGCCATCCTGTGATACATTTCTGAACCACATAAAAGCATCAGTCTACACAACACAGGTGCTTTGAATTCCATGAAAGTGTATTTTAAATTTGATGCGCTGCTGGTTAACCAGGCATGACCTGAAATGAGGTCAGGTGACATTTTTGTTTGCTTTGACTTACCCTCACAAGAGATGCTGGTTTGAGCAGCAGCAGCAATTTTGGTAGCATGGTCCTCTCATCAAAGAAGGTGTCTGGGACCTGCCCTCCATGTGCAGCCTCAACTAGGAGTGGGGCTCAGGTGGGAGTGTCTCCAAAAAGTCAGGGAGCCTTGGGGGGCCAGGTGTGTGGATGACACCCTCTAGCCAAAATGTATGTGATTGTTTATATCTGATTTCTCCACATTCTTGGAAAGTATGAGGGTATTTGGTGAGGGGGCTTCATTCCCTCATCTTATTCCCACTGCCCAAGGAGTCGAAAAGAGAAGAGATTTAGACTTGAGTTGAATATTGGCAAACCCTGAGGAAAATACAGGAGGTAGGAGTTGCTGAAGTTCATCACTTTGGCTTATTACCTTGAGTTGAGTCATCCTCCAACAGTGTAGATCTAATTAGTTACCACCTTCAGTTATTTGGGCTTCCTAGGTGGCTCAGTGGTAAAGGATCTCCCTTACAATGCAAGAGACACAAGAGACTCAGATTCCATCCCTGGGTCGGGAAGATCTCCTGGCGTAGGAAATGGCTACCCACTCCAGTATTCTTATCTGGAGAATTCCACGTGTGGAGGAGCCTGCCAGGCTACAGTCCACAGGGTCACAGAGTCAAGACACAACCAAGCCCATTTGACTGGTTATCTAGGGGAGTAGAGATCAGATAAGGCAGTTGAAGCCCAAAGGGAATTTGTATAGCCCTGGGCTTCAGGCTATGATGTCACTAGGATGGGAGATGGTAGCCAAGACAGACAAAGGCCAATAGTTGGGAAATGGCCCTCACTAATCTACATATTATAGTTAAAAAAAACTCGGAAAAGTTAATAACACCTGTTCATCAGGTTCACATGCCAGTGAGTGAAGTAGTGGACAGGACCTTGGGACAGGAAGCCCCTGTGGTACCCTTCCTTTGATCTGTGAATCTCTCCGCCTTACCGTATATAGTGTTATATTGCCACAGGTGTCTGCGTAAATTGCCCTCCTGAGGTTCCAGCACATAGCAGACATACTCTAAGGTATCACATTTGGAAGTAGTCTAATAATGAGCAGTGCTGTCCAAATATAATACATGTACATATTCTTGACTACCTAGTAGCCACACTTAAGACAGTAAAAAGAGCAGATGAGAAAATGTCTTGCCTCAATACATTCAAAATGTGGTTTAGCCATATTTCAACTTAAAACCTCGGAGAAGGCAATGGCACCCCACTCCAGTACTCTTGCCTGGAAAATCCCATGGATGGAGGAGCCTGGTAGGCTGCAGTCCATGGGGTCGCTAAGAGTCGGACACGACTGAAGTGACTTGGCAGTAGGAGCAACATAAAACCTATTGAGATAGTTTCTGTGTGTAAACACAATGGGTGTGTGTATATATAATATGTATACTTTAAATGAAGTTTCAGAAGTCTGGTATATTTTAAGCTTAAAGCATGTTTCACTTCTGATGCTAAATTTTTAGTTGTAGTCCTATCAAAATATGTGTGTGTTTAGTGGAAAG